AAGGTCAAGCATTTTTCAAGGCTTATAATTATCAAAACCTCAACAAATATCCAAAAGTATATATTATTTATTAAAGATTATAAAAATAGATTTATCCAAATTAATTTTATATTCATATTAGTATCCATTTGAAAATTAATAATAAACCAAATATTTTAACAATTGTTTTAACTTGTATAAACTGTGGACTTATATATAAAATTTACAAATTATACACATGTACATAAAGATTAATTATTTTGATAGTTATTATTAAAAGAATTAAAGTTATTAAAAGTTATTATTAAACTTTATATTTAACCAATGCATATACACTATAAATAAATAAGTAGATAAAAATACGACGTGATATTGTGTTTCACCGAGGTAATTTCTTACATCCTAATTATATAATATACTGTGATAGACATACTTTATATTAAATACTTGCTCGAAAAGATTTATTTTAATTTGTTCTTAGATAAGAGGTGTTTAATTATTACGTTCGCACTTGAGGAGGGGGAGGGGGAGGGGGTCGGCCACAGCAAACTTTTACGAACGAGAGGGATGGGGTAAAGACACCTTAAGAACGTTCGCATTTTAATAATTTAAATACTTTAAGGAATTAATTTTTAGTAAAGTTAATTTTTTATAACAACGGTTTGATAATCCGTTGTTCACAAAGTACGTTTGCACTTTTTAAGAAATCTAGACCCCTCCCTTAATGTTCTCATTTGTTCGCATGTAGTCACGTAGAAAAAATATGTTCACTTATCCAGTTTTACAGTTTTTATACATCTTAATTTGCAATAAATTGACAAGACATCTTAATTCGTACTTTTTGTTAAAAATGATTGATATTATCATAGATTTTTTTAGTTCCCAGATGAGGGTTTCACATATACCTATGCAAATATATACTGTACACACATATTCGGGAGACAGTCTGCCCCAATGTATCCATTTTTATAAAGTATTGCCATTGCATTGTACAGTATATATTTGCATAGGTATATGTGAAACCCTCATCTGGGAACTAAAAAAATCTATGATAATATCAATCATATTCTATACTAAAAGGGTTTAAAATAAAATAGGGGATATTTTTATATGACGTGGTTATTGAATCATAAATGTGTTTTTAAAATATTGACTAACATGGGAATGTGCTTAATATATGAATAGTGTATAAATTACAACACAAGGGTAAGCTGTTAGGAGACAGGAGGAGCAATATTTGAACATATTTATTATATACTGTACTGTATTGTACAGGTTTCGTAATAGTATTTATAATGTAGTACATTATTAATAATATTATATAACAGATGGTGATTAGATTAGATGAGAGAGAGAGAGAGAGAGAGAGAGAGAGAGAGAGAGAGAGAGAGAGAGAGAGAGAGAGAGAG